TCTCTAGCTAAGAATTTCGACACCAATGCATATATTCCAAGGCTTAAAACATATTGTTGAAAAATGAAGAAACGAATCCCATAAACCTATGGCCTCTTTCAAATTAGGGTTAATCTTTTGTAAGGGCATGCAATCCAACAGTTCCATGAAGAAAAACAAGCCACATTTTACACGTGCTGGAGTAGCTGTACTTGAGGATAGATTTCATGCAGAATTCAATATTTCTATTGAATTCTATTTCAGTAGGAACCGAAAGGAGTAAAAAGCACGTTCTTCTGATTAATAATAAATGATGTCAACATATCAGTGTATGGTCGATCATGCGCATCACGCAAAAAAATACAAGCAGCGTATTGAATCTATACCAGAATCATTGATGGTTTCGTGTAAACGTACACAGATATATCATAGGTACGAGGCGCGCTAGACGCCTTTGCCCTATTGAGCAGCGGCCAACCCTTAAAACGCGGCCACAATAGAATAAAGCACAACCAAATTTTTCTTCACAAAAAAAGATGCCATTTATGCTTTAGAAAATGCTGGTTGTGGTGATTTCTTTTGGTGGCAGACACATTTTTTTGTGGTAAAATGGAAATTTTTGTGTCAAATTCAAATAAATGACTCTAAACAAGTCGGTTTGCATATTGGAATACTTATTTTAGCACGAAATCAATGGACATAGGAAACCTACAACAGAATAAATAAACAATAAGCAGAATTGTTTTAAATCTAGTTATGAACCCAAATGTGTAAAAAATATGAAAGAATCACTCTATTTTCATTTTCAAATTATTTCAAAACTGAAGATAAAGTAACGTCTATATTGACAATCATGTCGTGTGATATATCAAAATGTGCCTGAATGGTTTAGGAGCTTATAAAAAATCCACAATTAATGTAGGTATAATATGATGTATTAAATTTGGGTAAATGTGCTGCCCCCCCCCCCCCCCCCCCCCATCTTGTTAAAAAACCCACAAATATGTAATAACATATTAAAAACATTTATTTATACAACACTTACATTCTTGTACACCAAATTTCATTTGGACACATGAATCGTATAAGTATCTTACATATATGAGCCTGAGAGGGTTGATTTATCCAATATGGCAAACAAAATGGCCCCCAAGATGGCCAAAACAGGAAAATTATCGTCTTCACTTCGGAATGTATGAGAAATTAAATGTCAATTTTGGTTTTGACCAGGAACTCCATCTATCATGCTATTATCGCCGATGTTATATACTATAATTGTTGATCATATTGCCTTACTAATTATCACTTACTAACTATCAATCTCATATTATTTCAATATTGTTAGTCACTCATTAACAAATCCATTATGTTTCTCAAATGCAGTAAGATGCATTTTGTCACTGTCACCATCATGTGAAGAGTAGGGCAGTGTTCAGTGCGTGGCAGTCCAGGACTCTTGAGACGGCACATGATCTGTCACTGTAGATGAGATAAGTGCTGTGTCTGGGTTCACGCGTACATCATCACATTGTTCCCACTGGATTCTCCGAACTAGGGTTTGTACAGGACTGTGCAGCCATATTGTCGTCTGAAACAGAGCTCCAAACATGTGTTGCTTGAAAGCATCTTCTGTATGTGGGAGCATTGTGTCTGCCTTGTCACTGTTGGAGGCCTGAAATATAGCCTAGGTCATCCAGGGTGTTTGATGTTTTTACTTGTATAGCAGGAGGACGAAGGACTAGCAGAGTTTAGGGGCACTTCTAGGGGATTCAATCCAAACTGATGTTCTTCAACATGTCAGTATGTGTCAGATATGTTGAGAAAGCTGTCTTCTATGAATTTATGACCAGACATCATCCTAATAATATCACATATTTTTTCACAGGTTTCTTCTACATTACAACCAGCAGAAGGCAACTGCCTTTCACTTACTAAGACATAACAGACGATAACCAGTCTCGATTATCTCAGCTCTGTACAATTACGCTACTGAAGCTTGGGTCCCATCCAATGTATCGTTAAGTGATACAAGACTGTTCAAATAATTTGCATAAGATCTTATCCTTATCATCATCTCAGCAAATAATATCTAATATTATCTGTGTCACACAATATTAGTAGCGGGCACTCTCATCCCACCCACCCCCCCTTCTAACCCTTTAAATTGTATAATGCGACAACATCAACACCAAGCAAGAGCTAAAACATGCCCGTTCAAATATGTGCATTTCTACAATCCTTGCACGAATCTTGCTTGCTGCTGTATTTATCAAAGCAGAGATGAATTATTCAGATAATCAAGTATGAAATGTCTACATATGTTTCGATTGGACATCATACAACGGTTGACATTTTTTTCTGACTCTTCCAGACTCTTTGTGAGTTTGTATAACGATTGGAGGACAGAAGATATATGTAAACGTACCTCGTGTTGACTCGCGAACGGGACGGGGTAGCTAATGAATGGCACCAATAACGGTATTCCACACTTTTCATGTACATGATGTTCAAAACATCTTTATGTTTTGGGATATTGATCCCCTGACATGTGTTACATGTTATTAACGTGTAAAGTTAAAACACACAAAGACTTTGTTCCTTTTGGGACTTAAACATAAATCCTAAGCACAAAGGAGCTAAACATGTTGAGCACCTGTTACATACTTAAACACATTTTTACAGTGTCTTAATGTGGTAACATATTATGGACACGACCATTAAAATTCAGTATTGCAGCAGATAACAGAACAACATATTTCATATATAATATAGAATGTACTAGATTTGAAGGTGATAGGGATCATTATAAAGTTACTGTAAATCTGAAGGTACCATATATGAGTGATTGATTCTGTTCATGTGTGTAACCCTCATGTGTGTCTGGATTCCTGGGGAAATCTATGATCGTGGTTCGAATCCCAGATTCACCCTGGTGATGTTCTACAGGTTTACCAGGACCATACCCGTGCTCGTGGTAAATGTCTAAAACCTTTCCTCCCATGCTGTGATATAACTGAAATACTATTCACATGAAATTATTGCGTGAAAAGGTAAAGCCATCGTAAAATATGAAACCTAGAGTGAATAAATCATACGGTTTTTATGTCAGCGTTTCTCAGCCGACAGATCGCAGTTTTATTTCCGACGAATCTGATTTTCGTAATTTTAGCCCCCAAAAGTACTGCTTCATGGATTCCACGATACTGGGCCTGAATGAATAAATGCAGTGTCTGAAGTCAGCAAGAGTTTGTTGGAGCTAACCAATCGCATGAGAACGATGGTACGCCAACCAATCGTTGTTTGTGTGAATATGACGGTACGCTAACCAATCGTTGTTAGTGTGAATATGACGGTACGCTAACCAATCGTTGTTAGTGTGAATATGACGGTACGCTAACCAATCGTTGTTAGTGTGAATATGACGGTACGCTAACCAATCGTTGTAAGGGTGAATATGACGGTACGCTAACCAATCGTTGTTAGTTCAAGTACGACGGTACGTTTTAGTGTGAATATGACGGTACGCTAACCTACCGTAGTTTGAGTGTGTATGACAGAACCCTGACCAACTGTAGTTAGTGTGAGTATGACAGGACGCTAACAAACCGCAGTTAGTGTGAGTATGACGGTACGCTAACAAACCGCAGTTAGTGTGAGCATTTCAGTTTGCTAACAAACCATTGTAAGTGTGGCGGAATGCTAAAAAACCGCAATTAGTGTGAGAATGACGGTGCGCTAACAAACCGCAGTTAGTGTGAGTATTTCAGTTTGCTAACAAACCATTGTAAGTGTGGCGGAATGCTAACAAACCGCAATTAGTGTGAGAATGACGGTGCGCTAACAAATCGCAATTAGTGTGAGAATGACGGTACGCTAACAAACCGCAGTTAGTGTGAGTATGACGGTACGCTAACAAACCGCAGTAAGCGTGAGTATGACAGTATGCTAACAAACCGCGGATAGTGTGAGTCTGACGATACGCTAACAAACCGCGGATAGTGTGAGTCTGACGATTCGCTTACAAACCGCGGATTGTGTGAGTCTGACGGTAAATGAGTGACATGCCCCATGAATACCGCCCGTACCTGGAGCACGTGCGGACAAACCAAGGACTATAATTGGGCCGAATCTGGGAATAAGCCCACTGATCCTGGAAGCTTCAGGGATAAACTTGCATTATATCACCCTCTTGTGTTATTTAAATAATATGCTTTTCATCCTGGTATTAATTTTAAGTGTAAATCATCCTCTTGAAAAAGGTAATTGCAGTTTATTGAACGTGTAAACATACACGATCATGACTTAATTTAATGAAATAAATAATGTGCGATGCGCTGTCAAGACAAAGTGTCCAATTGTTTTTTTTTACATGTCCACCAATATTGATGGGCAATCGTTGTTCAATTTCCCGTGTGGATATTTTTACTCAAACATGAATAAAATATTATGCATAGAGGATTTTTCTAAATTGCATTTGCATGTTCAGGTTGTCAAGTTGTGTAACGCATGCGCAGCCAAAGCAGCAACCGGAAATCGTCTGCATCTAAACAAGAAGTGACAGGTACAAAGTGAACACTCCGCCAAACTGTAACACTTCAGTGGTCACTGCCATACACGGAAACTATCAAATAACCTACTCAGAATTCAATCTCCTTTTAAAATGGCTGTAGTCATTTAAGGTAATCAATAACCGATGGCGTTGTTTAATAGAATTCGATTTGGGCTATTTAGACTCAAAACCCGCAAAACATGTTCAGTGAGTATGAGTCTCAGAGGTTCTCATTAAATTGTAACACTATCCATTAATAATATCTATCCCGTTATAAATATATACTAGCCTTTCACTCCCCAGACACTCGGATATAACTTGCATGTACCTAAAAGCATCCTTAAAGTTTTAGTTATTTGATGGCAGGAGCTTTAAATGGCGACCGGTGATTGTATTGGGAGCGATATCAGGACTCGGGATTTATTGATTGCTAGTCAGTTAATGGTGGGACGCAATTGTCATAATCCTCAGGGGAAAGCGCTTGGGCTGGTGCCCATTGTGGATATGGTCGACTCCAATAGCGGGAGGGATAATAGCGCAGGTAGATTTCTTCCACACCTGAAGGTGGGGAGTCGTTAGGTAGTTCAATACTTACTGTCAATCGCTGCGCTGACTCAGACAACACGCAGCCTGGCCCTGGCCTCGTGTTAAGTTAGGACAACAATTTGTGAAGCTTTCAGCTTTACAAGTGCAGTTTGGTATTGTGCTCTTACTGGACGGAATTGGATTATTGGAAACAGTGTGGTGCAAAGGCTTTAGATTGTGAACATATCGGATTTGAAAAGATTTAATCAGGCAATGGGTAGTAAGATCAAGCCTGGATGTAACGTGTGGGTATTGTCGTGCCACATGGAACAAGTCTGTGTTCAGTTCATAGTCCCAGAACCAAGGTAAAACCATAACACGTAAAACGTGCGGAGCAACAAAAAATACACTAATATCATATGGACCAAACCCGTTTTAAGTATTACTGTAACAGGTTAGTACCATTGTCGTCGAACACTTGTTTAAAACTTATATGTTCTTTAAAACACGATGCTAGGTGTTCATTCATAGGTGCCAAACCAAACCCAAAGTGGATATCTCAAAGGACCATGGTGACCGGCTAAAAGAAGTTCGTATAGCCATATCGGACTTGGACATGGAGTCCCTCTTGAGCAGGGCCCGGAAGCTTGACCGGCGGTTGACCATCAATGTCGGAGGGGTGTCCTACCAGACCCTAAGGAGCACCCTGGAGCGCAAGCCGGGCACCCGTCTTGCCACCATGGCGATCCTTCACGAGCGGGACGAGAGCTGGGACCCCGACTGTAAGGAGTTCTTCTATGACAGACACCCGGGGGTGTTCGCGTCTATCCTGCACTACTACAGAACGGACGAGCTTCACACGGATCATAATATATGTGGCAATATCATACGAGGGGTAAGTCCATGGCAATATTATAATATATTTATTTTTTATTCTTCTTTTTCATCATCATCATCATCATCATCATCATCATCTTCTTCTTCTTCTTCTCATCTTCCTCCTCCTCCCCCTCCTTCTTCTTCTTTCGTGATTGAATGTAAAACGATAGATAGAAAGGATGTTAAAATAGGTAATTATAACAAAATGTAGTCATATACCAAATGTTTTCTGGCATTTATTGTCTGAGCAAAATGTTTTTGAACATAATAGTGAGTTATTTAATTATATTGTGTTATGATATAATATAATTTACAATGCTATACACACAACGTGATAAAAAGTATCTTGCTACTTTATTATTATGGGTAGTTATTATCATTTTATGTAGCCTTTCGTATGATAGTTAGAGGCTGAATGATACATGTATACTATTCGCAATAACATCGACTCTTTGTAAAAGCAACATCAATGATGTTTGTTGCTTCCTCTGTTGCCGAAAAGAAAGAGGCGTTTGGTGCTATTTTTAATGAGCCTCAAATTGTTGATGCTTGCATTATGGCTGAAGTGAACACCTGAAACACATATAATTATGTAATATTTAACATATATAGTTGGGTTTTGATAAACTTCAAGTATAGTCCTATGTTTGAGCTCCATTGTATTTTTTCTTTTCAAAATACTCGTTATTTTAGTCTAATGTATTTACGATGTATAATTGTTAACTTTTGTTTTTAACAAAATTATTCAATGATGGTTTTCCATGAAGCTAGAACAACAGTGTGGCTTTTTGTTGTTGAATGCCCATAGGAAAAGGAAACCTACATGTATATTTCATTAACCTTCGACATCAATTGATGCAGTTCTTGATTTGGCAGCCTTTAAAGGGAACGAAGGTTGTATTATCGCTTTTGAAATGCATCACGTATCTCTGGCACCTGTCTATACTTCCGTCAAACCACATTCTTCAACAGTGATTGTGATAATTGCAATCGTTGATTTGACACATATCTTCAACGTCAAAGTCAGAGAATAACCAGTCTCGATTTTCTGCCGGAACAGATTCTAATGGGCGTAATGGACAAATAGCCGTGAATAAATGGATCACTGAAAATCCCTGATGACACAAGTATGCGGCTGTAACGTGCATGATGTTATGGTTACATTGTCAACGTTAGCAATGTTGGATTCAAGAAATACTGTATCAAAATATCTAAATAATATTTCATATGGAACGTTAGTTTATCAACAGCTTATGTATATTTCGCGGTGGCGTAATATCTCATCGAAACCAGTTAATTTACGAGGTGAGTTGAAATGATTATTGCACTTACATGCACTTTGTGTGTGTGTGTGTGTGTGTGTGTGTGTGTGTGTGTGTTTGTTTGTGTGTGTGTGTGTGTGTGTGTGTGTGTGTGTGTGTGTGTGTGTGTGTGTGTGTGTGTGTGTGTGTGTGTGTGTGTGTGTGTGTGTGTGTGTACTAGTACTTAACATCTATTGGATAATACCATCACATGGCATGGTATTATATAAACGGTAGGAGACGACATCTACTGGTAATATGACGAGATAGGAACAAAACTAAACATATCAGTATATAATATTTTATAGAACAGTTAGAAAATCATTCTAAGTATGACCATATACAAGGTACTGGAGAATACTTCTACTAATATTACGATGCGAGAGCGTAATCTTTATTTGAGTACTGAACATACCACACGCTTTTAGTACATGACAAACATTATTATATAACATCATACCGTTATGCATTTACTAAAGCGTGATATATTTTCTATGTAATATTGCATCATAAATTAACATGGACAGATTGTGCAGTGTATCATAGTTTGTACTGCTAGCAAAGATAAAAATATATTTATATTTGTATGTCAGAATAATTGTGTTTGATGTATCTATTTCTTGACGTTGTGACAAGGATGTATTCATCTTCGACTGCATTTACATCACACAGTTGGCTAATTCTTAGTTCTCCTTAACATTTATAGAGCTTCCTTTTCAATTGATAAATCATGCGATGAGCATCGAATACGAACTAAGCTTATTCTAAATGTCTTTATATTCTCCTCCGTTAATGTTTATATAACCTTTAAACATTAAAAAGCTATTCCATTTATTTGATTCCGATTTGTTTTCCTACCAATCTTGATACATGTCTTTAAATCTTTGTGAAATGCTTTTATAAATTCTGCCGGGAATTCGACCTTTTGGATTTGCCAAATATAACCGTACCCACCCTTAAACAATAAATCTTTTACACTTGTTGCCCCATTTCTTTGCCTATTTTTATCATGTGACACATGTTATATTTGGGATAAATGACATTGTGTATTCATATTTTTATGATGTTGTAACATCATATTATAACATTTCGTAGGTCACCGATAGGATGGCATATTTAATAACATCAGCGAAGATTTAATAACTTTAATGTATCTGCGTCATGAACATGCATCATGATGTAAGATGTATTTGTTTTTACACAAATGGATTTCTTCAATGCAATTCCGTGTACTAGTTCTGTTTGTTCAAAATGATTTAATCTCCATATTTCTACCCCCTATAGAAGTTTTGGATTTACCTGAACATCAACAATTCTAAAGAAATAAGTATGGTTTATGTCTCCAAGAATATTGATGTACTTTGATATATACACACAAACATGCTCGTCGCTATAATCTTGAACGCGTCGTTTCACCTCACCCCGACTTCAACTTGAAATATGTTTTACGAAATACGCATTATTGGATTATCTTTCCACATGAAATATTACGACATAAATCAAGTTATGGTATGCATATTTACTTCTATTATGACAAAAGAACATTTGTCGAAATATTATGATACAAAATACTCTATACATTGAAACTCTTTCAACAGACACATCCTGGTAATATGTCAACGTGGATAATATCCCCATATACACTAGCTAGTTAATTGGTATAAAATCAGTTGCTGAGCGTCAGACTTTGACACGATACGGGACAATATACAAACTGTTGGAGCATATTTCGTCACGAACCAAAGCCTTCTACATGTTGAACGCTGCGAAAGTATGACGACTTGTGAGGTGAAATGGGGTTTAATGTCGCGTTCAAGATGGTTGCACTTATACAGCGACTTGCGTTCGCCTTTGTGTGTGTGGCTGCTCGTGCTAGTCCAGACTGATGCCGATTTTATAGTGTTAGTCCACTGAGACACCATGTCGCGGTTTAACATGAATCCCAATATCTATCATATTTCGACATGACGTATTACCACATTGCGACATGACATATCACATTTGGACATGACATATGATCATAATTCGACTTGACATATTACAATATTTCTATACGACATATTACAACATTTTGACATGATATATTACTTCATTTCGACATGACATATTATCACATTTCGACATGACATCTTTGCACATTTCGACATGACATATTATCACTTCTGACATGACGTATTATCAAATTTTGACATAACGCATTACAACATTTCGACATGACATATTGCACAGTTTTGACACGATATATTACTACATCTCGACATGACATAATACAACATTTTATCATGACATATTACTACATTTTGACTTGACACATTATCACATTTTGACATGATTTGTTGTCAAATTACAACTTTACATATTATTACATATTGACATGACGTATCATCACATTTCGACATTACGCATTACAACATTTCGACATGACATCTTATCACATTGTGACATGACATATCACATTTCAACTTCACATATTATCGCATTTTGACATGACATATTATCACATTTCAACATGTCATATATTTTGACATGACATATTATCACAATTCGACATATCATATTATCACATTTTGCCATGGCATTATTACCACATTTCCTCATGTTACCACCTGTTATCATTCTATTTATAGTTTTGAATGATTTGACATGTATCACCGATCCCTGCATTATCTCACCTTGCAATACGTGTACGTTAAATATTTTTCAATTGTACCTTTCTGTTTGATCTTGCCTCATAATATGTGTGATATAGTCTTTGATCAGATGTCCCAACCATTTTGAACAAACATTTCACATTGAAGATGAAAGACAGCTATAGTTACGTTCATGGTGTATAAACATTATATGCCTCCGACGAGATTATGTTCACTGGTGATATGATCGGAGAGCCCATTATTCCGAAGGCTCGTTATTCTCGGTACCTCTTAGCAAACATATCTAACGTACGCGTGGTTTCACAATCAAATATAGTGTTCTACCATGGCGGACAATATTTCCATCAATAATGCTCCCGTGCATTAAATGGGAGTATCGATGACATATTTATCGGTACATTTGAAATATTGTTTTTGTTATCGACACGAGGAAGAAAATAGAACGCTGATTACCCGATCGTTATATAAGTGATTATTTCATCGCGTTCATATCGAGATAACTATCGAATAGGTTTCCAATCAAGATAATAAAGCCTTCAAGAACGATCAGCTGATCGTGTGACAACAGGTGTGATACAAAGATGACATTCATTTTGTTTGGATGAGGTGTGATACCTTCGGTTAAACACTGTTGAAATTGTTTCGTTACATTCGCAGTTCGTTACTCGCACAACCATTTTCGATTGTTGCTGCAATTGCATTATTCATTAAGCAAAGAAGATTTGATTTGCACCTGGTTGTGTTTCCTTGTGCATGTGCATAACCTTCCGTTGTTTATTATCTGTTGCAATTGCATAGATATCCGATATAAGAGTGAGAATTGTTTTATGCCGCTTTTAGCAATATTCCTGCAATATCACGGCGGGGGGCACCAGAAATGGGCTTCACACATTGTACCATATGGTGAATCCAACCCGGGCCTTCGGCGTGCCGAGTGAATGCTTTAACAGACTGAGTTATTGATCACCATTTCAGTTAAGGATTTTAACCAACCACGGCATCTTATGCATCCATTATGCATTAAGACGTCTTGTTGTATCGGGCAGTTGTTTAACTTGTTAAAA